GTAAAGAAGACACCTGCAATGCAGGAGCCGCAGGAGACATGGGTTTGATCGCTGGGTCAGGAAGATTCCTTGGAGGAGGTCATGGCAATCCACTCCAGTATTCTCGCCTGGAGAATCCCATGGACAGAGGAGCCTGGCGGGCTACAGTCCATAGAGCTGCTAAGGCTCAGACACGACTGAAGCGACTTAGCACGGCCAGCACCAAAGTGAAGACTGTTAGTGTTCATCACAATAAATTGAACAATAGGCCCTAGAAAGACACATAGAGTGTTTCCTTTCTGCTTCTGAGTATTTATCAGCCTCAGGCATAGACTGAGTCATTCGTGATTTGGGCTGTGCTAAAGTAAATAAAGGAAAAGTAGGCTGTTAGCTGGCCTCTATGAAGATTTGGGGGGAGGACTAACTGAAAACAACCACGATTTGAGAGAAGTTGGATATTTAACAAAATTCCTTGATAAACGATTCTAAGTAAAATCTTTTTAAAAACAGAGCTTAATGAGAAAAAAAAAAAACAAGTCCTCATTTCAACTGGACAACTTTTTTTGGAAATATATATATTTTTTTTACAACTGTTTTAGGTTCACAGCAAAATTGAGAGGAAGATACAAAGATTTCCCATTTATCTCCTGCCTCCACACATGCATAGCCTTCCCCACTATCAACATCCTTCACCATAGAGGTATATTGGATACAACTGATGAATCTACACTGATATATCATAATCACTCAAAGTCCATAGTGTAGGGTTAACACCTAGCTTTGTAAATTCAATTGGTCTGGACAAATATAAAATGATATGTATTCATCACTATGGTATCACATCGAGTTTTTTCACTGTCATAAAAATCCTTTGTGTTCTGCCTATTTATTCCTCTCTTCCAACCTCTGGCAACCACTGATCTGTCTCCATAGTTTTGACTTTTTCAGAACATCATATATCTGGAAATTATACAGTATATAGCCTCTTTAGATTGGGTTCTTTTCTTTAGTATTGTGATTTGAAGGATCTCCCATGTCTTTTCATGGCTTGATAACTCATTTTTTTATGTGCTGAATAAAACTTCATTGTCATGTAATATTCTGTTACACCACAGTGTACTTATCCATTCACATTCACCTACTGAAGGACATCTTGGTTACTTCCAGGTTTTACTAATTATGAATACAGAAGCTGTAAACATTCATGGACAGATTTTTGTGTGGACAAATGTTTTCAATGCCTTTTAGTAAATACCAAGGAGCAGGACTAATGGATCATATACCAAGAGTATGTTTCATTTGCCGGAAACAGCCAAGACACTCCAAAGTAACTGTGTATTTCCACGAGCAATTGACTGTGTATTTCCACGAGCAATGAATGAGGGTTCCTGTTACTCATATTCTCAATAGCATTTGGTGTGGTCAGTGTTCTGGATTTTGGCTACTCTAATAGGTGTATGAGTGTGTGCTTATGCTCAGTTGTACCCGACTCTTTGAGACCCCATGGACTGTAGGCTGCCAGGTTCTAGTCTGCAGATACACACTGCACACACAGGTGACATAGTTACTTCAAAGGAAGAAAATTTTCTCAAGAAATCAATACCCAGTTGTATGCTCAAAAAGGAAGCAGAGAATATAGATTTTGCCTATCAAGTCATTATCTAACTAGAGAGATAATTTTTCCTTAACTGAAATATCTTGAAAATGTTTCCACTCATATGAAACGGAGATACAGACCATTTTATATGTGCTCATCACTGGAATATTTTTATTTCAGTTCAGTTAAGTCGCTCATTTGCGACCCCATGGACTGCAGCATATTAGGCTTCCCTGTCCATCACCAACTCCTGGAGCTTCTCAAACTCATGTCCATCGAGTCGGTGATGCCATCCAAGCATTAATCATCTGTCGTCCCCTTCTCCTCTTGCCTTCAGTCCTGCCCAGCATCAAAGTCTTTTCCAATAAGTCAGTTCACATCAGGTGGCCAAAGTATTGGAGCTTTATCTTCAACATCAGTCCTTCCAATGAATATTCAGGACTAATTTCCTTTAGGATTGACTGGTTTGATCTTCTTGTGTCCAGGGGACTCTCAAGAGTCTTCTCCAACACCACAGTTCAAAAGCATCAATTCTTCAGTGCCCAGCTTTCTCTATGGTCCAAACCTCACACCCATACATGACTACTGGAAAAACCATAGCTTTGACTAGATGGACCTTTGTTGACAAGTAATGTCTCTGCTTTTTAATATGCTGTCTAGACTTCTCATAGCCTTTCTCCAAGGAGCAGGTATCTAATTTCATGGCTGCAGTCATCATCTGAAGTGACTTTGGAGTCCAAGAAAATAAAGTCTGTCAGTGTTTCCATTGTTTCCCCATGTATTTGCCATGAAGTGATGTGACTGGATGCCATGACCTTCTTTTTTGAATGTTGAGTTTTAAGTTAGCTTTTTCACTCTCCTCTTTCACTTTCATCAAGAGGCTCTTCAGTTCTTCTTGGCTTTCTGCCATAAGGGTGGTTTAACGTGTGTATCTGAGGTTTTTGATATTTCTCCCAGCAATCTTGATTCCAGCTTGTGCTTCATCCAGCCTGGCATTTCACATGATGCACTCTGCACCCTGTTAAATAAGCAGGGTGATAACATACAGCCTTGATGTACTTCTTTCCCAATTTGGAACCAGTCTATTGTTTCATGTCCAGTTCTAACTGTTGCTTCTTGACTTGCATACAGATTTCACAGGAGGCAGGTCAGGTAGTCTGGTATTCCCATCTCTTTAAGAATTTTCCAGAGTCTGTTGTGATCCACACAGTCAAAGGCTTTAATGGAGTCAATGAAGCAGAAATAGATATTTTTCCGGAATTCTCTTGATTTTTCTGTGATCCAAAGGACGTTGACAATTTGATCTCTGGTTCTTCTGTCTTTTCTAAATCCAGTTTGAACATCTGGAAGTTCTAGGTTCGTGTACTGTTGGAGACTAGATTGGAAAATTTTGAGCATTACTTTGCTAGCGTATGAGATGAGTGGAATTGTGCAGTAGTTTGAACACTCTTTGCATTGCCTTTCTTTGGGATTGGAACAAAAGCTGACCTTTTCCAGTCCTGTGGCCACTTGTAAGTTTCCCAAATTTGCTGGCATATTGAGAGCAGCAATTTAACAGCATTATTTTAGGATTTGAAATAGCTCAGCTGGAATTCCATCACCTCCACTAGCTTTGTTCATAGTGATGCTTCCTAAGGCCCACTTGACCACACACTCCAGGTGGTCTGGCACTAGGTCAGTGATCACACCATCATGGTTATCTGGGTCATTAAGATCTTTTTTGTATAGTTCTTCTGTGTATTCTTGCCACCTCTTAATATCTTCTGCTTCTGTTAGGTTCATACTGTTTCTGTCTTTTATTGTGCTCATCTTTGCATCAAATGTTCCCTTGGTATTTCTAATTTTTTTGGTATTTCTAAATGTTTTGCTCCCTTGGTACTTCAAATTTCTAGTCTTTCCCATTCTGTTGTTTTCCTCTATTTCTTTGTATCAATCACTTAGGAAGGCTCTCTTATCTCTCCTCGATATTCTTTGGAACTCTGCATTCAAATGGGTATATCTTTCGTTTTCTCCTTGCCTTTTGCTTCTCTTTTTTTTCTCAGCTATTTGTAAGGCCTCCTTAGACAACCATTTTGCCTTTTTGCATTTCTTTTTCTTGGGGATGGTTTTGATCATAGCCTCCTGTACAGTGTTATGAACCTCTCCCATAGTTCTTCAAGCACTCTCTCTGTCAGATCTAATCCCTTTAGTCTATTTGTCACTTCTACTATATAATCGTAAGAGATTTGATTTAGTCAATAAAAAAATGACTCATATGTCTTTGTGGTAAATAGAGGAAATGTTTATATAACTTACACTGAATAGTATACTTTGTTTTAATGTTAATAAAAATTTTGCATTTTATGTATTTTCTTTGTTTTACATGCTGTGAGAAATGGAGTATTTCCTGCCATACCAGCAAACAAGGATCACAGTAATCAGTGATTCCAACCCTCCAAATGTGAATTCCTGACTCCTAAGTGTACCCAGGAAGAGTAACTGAGCTCTCTGGCCCATTGGGCCAGTCGCTCCCTACAGTGAGCATGGAGGAATTCAGGATGTGAAAAATGCAGGATGCTGGGCCCAGATGGCTGAGATGCATATGAAAGGAATGATTTCAGTAAGCCCAGACTCCTGTATGTTCCCATACATAGAAAAGTGCTACATTCCTTAACTTGAGATATCTGGTTTTCTGTAATTTACTAGAAACTTTTGATGTTCAGACTACCTGCCCTTTGTTGTAAACTTCTATATGACCTGACTCCTCCCCCCACTTCCTCAGAGCAGTTCTTTCGGGGCTGCTTGAGAAGCTGCCTTCCAGGCTTAACTCCCCAAAATTTCCAAATAAAACATAACTCTCAACTTCTAGTTTGTGACTATATTTTTAAGTTGAAATCATTCTGTATTTGATGTCTATAGTTACTGTATGCAAAATTGTGAAGGAGATAGATAACGCACACAGATATCTCTAGCTATTGTTACCAACGACCTCACACATTTACTCTCTTAAATGTTTTTTTTGTCACCAAACATTATTTATCACCAATGACTAACTATTTTTGAAGCTGATAAATACTTACTATTGTGTCCCTTTTCCTTGTCCTGACCGGGTCCCAACTCTTTCCTTCAAAGTTTATCTTTTCTCCGCCTCAAGTCCTTATAGCCCTCCATAACAACTGCCTATCTGATTTGGTCAATTTATTTGATAAAAGACCATATGTAATCCAGTAGGAGAAACATTAATATATCTTAAAGGCTCTTAATGCCATTAAAGAGTGACATGTGTATATTTCAGATAACATCAATGGTTATAGGTGCAGTGATTTCAATGAGTGGATCCTTTAGGACACTCCCTCAATCAGTTACTGTATGCAGTGGACTCTTGACTGCATTTGATTTACTTTATCTGCAGTTTTTTGACTACTTAGATGAACAGAAAGCTTACCTCTGCAGCCACATCTCCAGATTTTCCCTGGTGAGGAATTTCATACACCTCCATCTGTCGCTTTGTGAGTCGCACTAACTTTTCAGCTAGTTCCCTCCAGCCTTTCCCAAGCTTGATGGCTGAAGTCAGAATAGCAGCCTCCTGGACAAGATGCACTACTAACCCTTGGCAATCCATCTTCAGCAGAGCCTGCAGCAACAACTGCATGTCATAATGTAAAGCAACTAATTTGAACTTTTATCTAGAAATTAAATTTGTTATTACATATTCTGGAAACTGGCATCCTTTTATTCACCACACATATATTTGAATTTTCTAAAATTCAAAGAGTTGATTTACTTTTAAGCAAATCCAACAAGCAAAGTACAGAGGATACAAACTAGACCAGAATTAAGGGGAGTTTTAGGGCTAACTCAGTAACTAATTATAGGTCCTTAAATAAACCACTTAACTAATATGTCTCTTAATATCCTTAATTACCAAAGGAGGAAGTTGAATTAGCCACTTCCAAAGATACCCTGAGGTTTTAGCAGTTAATAATTTATTAACCCATGATTATTCATTACACAAACAGTAATTACTTTCCTTCCAGAGGACTGGCTATAGGATTTCTAGAGTAAGCACACAGCTGTTGGTAAATAATATTTAATTTTTTAATCAAAATATGATTTAAAATTCCCCAGAATTATGTGTATTGCATAAAAATGAGAAACTTAGACAACCTTGAACAAAGCTATTGCTATTAATAACTTAAAAAATTAGCTCTCTCCCTTTACCATCAATGTAGTTAATGCTAAATTTAAATCACAAGGTATCAAATATAAAACACTTGGGTTTCAACAATGCAAAAAAGAAAACCTTCAGACTCTTTTCTTCCTTAATTAACCATCTGAGCTTTGTCAGTCACCATGCATTTTTCAAACAGGTCTACAAGTTTCTCTTTTGTCTTGAATATATTTTTAAAGTACAAGATGAGATTTATCTATATTTCTTTTCTGTTCAAATAAAAATGTTCAGTAGTCCCTCATCATTTAATGGCACTTAAAAGCTTTATCTATCATTATGAAACAATAAATAAAAATGAATGAGTGAGCGAAGCAACTATTAAAGTCCAAAGAATGTTCATTCTTATGGATGTATTAGGAGAACTACCCATGGTCTCTATACATGAACTATATTTATCTGCAAATTTATGGAGAGGAGTTGTGACCTCAGGGAGAAGCAGTGCTGAGACAGCAGGCCCCTGAGGGCGCTTTTAGCAAACTGTGGAGTGGGTTTAGCTTACCAGTTCCTTGTTTTAAGGAAAATAAATTTGCACTTAAAGTTATAAAACCTAAGTTTAAAATCCAACTCCACAAAGAATAGGAATTTTGATAAATCACAAAATGTCTCTATTTAATGACTTTTAAAGTGGATATGATAGTAATACTACCCCATCTAACCCCCTATAATAATTATGAAAATTGAATTAGATGCTGAAGTGCTTAGAGTATCAAATTCCAAACTATATAAAGACAGTCTTAATGTCTAGAGATGATTAAGGAGATTGTAACTCACAATCTTTATAAGTTCATTTCCAGCTACTCCAAGCTAGAATCCCAAGTATACAACCCAAGAAAAAGGTACACAATTGAAGAGTATCTGTGTGTGTGTGTTAGTCACTCAGTCATGCCTGACTTTTTGCAACCCCATGAAATATAGCCCACCAGACTCCTCTGTCCATGGAATTCTCCAGGCAAGAATACTGGAGTGGGTTGCCATTCCCTTCTCCAGGGGATCTTCCTGACTCAGGGATTGAACCCAGATCTCCCACACTGTGGGCAGATTCTTTACCATTTGAGCTACCCAGGAAGCCCATAAGCCCATATGTATATATATATACTATATCATGTTAGCTATTGTTAACATCACAAACTCCTTGCCAAAAATTTTTTCTCCCATTTTGTACTTTGATTAAAACTTGACTCCTCTACATGAATCTGCCTCATCTTACATGAACCACTCATCTCTTATAGGGCACCAGTTTTGCACAGTTATAATGATATTTACTACACACCAACACACATACTTAAATATCTTTATATACATATATACATTGTTAAAAAATTTGTTTCAGGGAAAGTAGTAGTTTTATGTGTGGCTTTGGAACCAAAAAGATTTCAAATCCTATCTCTGATACTAACCAACTGGCAGATCTTGGGCAAGTTGCCCAACCTCCCAAGACTCACTTTCCTCTATTTGAAGATGGAGATACTAACTAGACTTATCCTGCACTGTGGTTAAAATGGCCAAATGAGAGAGTATGTATAGAGTGCTGGGCACAGTGCCAAATATATAGAGATCCTTAGGAAAGTTGTATATATCATTATTGTTATTTACACAGTCACATTTTAGCCATTTTTAGAAATATGCTCTTGATTTTTTTTTACTTTTATAAATTACTGAATGTCCAAATTTAAGACAAAACAGTTCTTCATGTTTTTTATAGTTCTCTGCTGAGCCTTACACTGGGGTGAATGCTTTGTTGAAAAAAAAAACATGATTCTTAGAGTCCTATTCAAACATAAAGATTAAGAAGAGAATTAGCAATATCACTTTTGGACTGTGATGCACTGCATACAGAAGAGAAATGCTAAATTGCTAAAGCTAAGGACATCGGTAATACATCTAAAAAACACTAAAAAGTGAATCTATAGCAATGCCCAAGTTAAGCAGTTTTGTTTCAGTTTTGTCTTATTTACTTTCATGTAATTGGAGCTCCTCTGATATTTTAAGAGCTATCTAAATATTTGAGAGAGGAAAAAAGGGGATCTCTTAATTGTTATGTTTTAGCACAAACAGAATCTTTAATCTTCCATTAAAGGATGATCCTTGGGGGCCTAGTTTCTGGGAAAATCACAATTGAATGTCAAATCTAAGAAACTAGTTATATGATCTTGTACGCAAAGCTCTGAAGTGACTTCAATTTATTTGAGACTGCTGAGAGATTTTTAAACTACTCTCATATGTTTACTTATAAATATTGCCAAGTTAATAGAGTTCTCTATGGTAAGTAAATTCCTGTGATCAAGCAATACTTACCACAGTAAGTTCATAAAGAAACTTCCTGGTATTTCTATCTGCATGGCAATCTTCCTTTAACTTCTTTACAACATAAGCAACTTTTTCTGATTCTTTGTCTGCTTGTAGTTGATCAAAGTCTTCCAGTGCCAGATGTGAATAGCCTAGAACATAAGCTAATACTTTCCAATCATACACTTTTTCTGACACCAAGGTCAAGACAACTGAGTAGATGTAAGTCAGTTTTTTAAGAGGCAGGGTAATTTGTTCAAGAAGATTCCAGGTTGTGAAGACATTATCTGACATAGACATTACTTGTTCCTTTGCAATCACCCTGATATTTTTGCAATGTAAAAGTCCAATCTTACCTCTCAGGACTCCCACATACCATTCTTTCACTTTGGACTGTCCAATGGCTTTTACTTTGACTTCTCCAAGAAGAGCTACTGTGTCCCCTTTGAAATATTCAAGTAAGTATTCAATCTTATTTTGTCTTATCACTGTCTTCTGGGTTATTCCATAACTGGTAAAGTTCAATTTTTTGTCTTGAAATGTAGGATATTTAACATGCACTGTTGGTAATAAAGGAGAAGATTTGATTTCCTTCTTTTTCTGCAAATCACTTGGCAGATTTGACAGCCTTTTTAGGTTTGGAGCCGGATCAGGTGAAGTTATAAAGAACTGTGTAACTGGACTACCACTGTGAGACTCCACCTGAACACAGAAAACAAACAAGTGCATTTCTCTGGAGCCAGCTAAAGAGAAGAAAAATTGCTCATGAACTACTTGACCTGATTGCAAGTGCTTTTGCTTAACTTCTTTCCGTTTTCTTTCTGCTTTTACTTCAAAATCAGGATCACAAGATAAGACAGATATACTTAAATCTTGCGGCTTTTCAAGTAAGAAGGAATGCTTCCCCCAGAGCTGAAATACCACTGGAGGTGTGGTGGGGTTCCCACCTTTTTTAATATCAGAGATAGTAAGCTTTCTTGGCAAATAACTATGTCCACAAACTGTGAAAACAGCAGTGAAACTAGGGTGGATATATTTGGGTCCATAAATTCCAACTGAAATGGTTTTGTGGATATAATCCCAGATGGTGGCAGCTGGTGATTGAGTGCCTTTAGTTTGTGCGGCAACCACTAGATACATCACTTGACTCAAGTCTACTAGCTTGACTTGGATGGTGTCTTTATAAATGTAGCAGTTGTTTAATACCTTGAAAGGGCCTTCTTTATCCAGACTGTGTAAACACACTATTTCTGCCATGAATTGGCTGAAAGGATCCTTTTTCACTTCAGCCCCAATTTTCATCTCCAGCAAAATGGCTTCCATTGTGTTAAGGTTACCTAACGTGATTTCCAACAGTGGGCTTATGGTGCATGAAAGATCATGGTTAAGCTTTTGTGGAGGATCTAGAAAAGCCCTGAGAGACACCTCTTGGAATTCCCCCACAGCTACATGGCCTTGGGGCACATGAACAGTGATATCTGATTCAGGTAATTGTACTGACCCTCCCTGGTGGTTTAATTTGCAAACTACTGTAGTCTCTGCAACTTGTGTTTGGGCCCATCCAGGACTCCGAGTAATTGTACTCAAATCCAGGCAGGAACGGGCAAGGTGGCGCTGACTTAACCAAGCCATTTTATAAGCCTCTCGATCGTTTCGAAGCCATTCTAAGTCTTGTTCTAAGATCTGGTCAGAGTTATGTATATTCTGATGGGCATGTGCAGTGTCATCCAAAATGTCCAAAAGTTCTGAAACACTTTTAGATCTTCCACATTTCCTTGAAGAAGACTGCCTAAGCAAGTGATGCACATCAAGTTCATCACCAGACGAATCAAAAGAGTTTCCAGTTTCTATTTCTCTAAAAAAAAGAAAAGGATCTTCCTTCAAGATAGAAATATTATCTCTCTTCTGGTTATTTCTTAGCTGAGTTATATCATCCAAAAATGGGTTAGATGCAGACAGTTCATTCCAGAATGGATTTGTAGCATTGGAAGCATTATTGTCATGAAGTGTGAAATCCTCTGGCCAATCAAGAGGCAAACCAGGATCTGGACATTCTTGTTGTTTAAACCAAAATAAAGCAAAACAAAGATGAAATGGCATTCTGAGATACAACCAAGATTAATTTTTATTATAGCTTAAAAATTGAAGAATTTTTATTTGTCTTTGATCTCCAGTCTAAGTACTACAAAATTAATGTTAAGTTTAGTCAAATTTCCATGTTGAGAGGAAAGAGAAATTGTTCGACCAGGTTATTTTAACTCTTTGTAACATTATTTTATCTTAAGACACAATGATTTATAAACAAAAACATTTAGAAATTTCAATAGTAATCAGTTAACATATATTTGTGACAATTACTGAGACTACATACATTTATGTCTTGTTTAATATGTCATTTTCATAATGAGTACCTGTGAATTAACAGAATAGTCTATTATCCAGATTTTTCTAAATATACAGTGGTTGGTCTCATTACATCTAGATTATTTATTTAACATTTTCTTTCCTGATAACATTCAATATGTGAAAAATATCAAATATATCTATAAACAGCTAAAATGTTAAAAAAAATAACAAACTAGACATGCATGGATTCCTTAGAATATTTTCTGAAAATTTCATATTGATAAATTTTAATAGGTTGATTTTTTTTCATGAAAAGTGAACACTTCATGAAAATAAGCACTGAAAAAATAGACCACCATTAGATTTACTACTTGAAGGAATTCATTGAGCTTTTTAAAGTTTAAAATGGCAAAGAACAGGCTTATTGCCACCACAAAAGGGAAATACACTGTTACTTTGGAAAGTTGGCATTTTAAGAATCAGCAACACATTCAAATACTTCTGTATCAACTACAATGAATTTCTATATATCTCAAAAAATACCAACTATTTATGTTTAGAGCAAATTATATTTGATCACTTTTTCAATAAATATTGATAATGAATCTGTGGACTTTGTAAAATTGTGGCTGCTTTAGAGAAAATGAAAGCTAACATAGAAAAACAAATTCAAGTAAGCTTTCAGATGTTTTTGTTTGTTAAATATAGAACTATATATTGATTGAAATTAGTTTTAAGTGTCATATATTAAAAATGTTAAGATATATTTTGAAAAACAATTGCTGCATTTCTTTTATTTTTACACTTTTCTTCAAATCCAGGACCTTTAAACTCTCTTAAAACCTACATTTCCTCTGAGAATCTATTCAATTCTTTTATACTGGATTTATTGGCCCACTACAACCTACAGATATCTCTTTGACCACAAAATTCACTGTATTTACTGTGTATACTGCTCATTAAATAAAGAACTTTGTGTCCTTGTAATACTTATTATTACCTGTTTTATTTTATTTTGATTATTTTATTTTTCTCATCTTTTTAATGATAGTGTAAGTATTTCAATGATAAAGTTGTGATTTTACAATTCTCTTGTTTGTAACACTTTTCAGAAGTAGTCCCCCAATAATTAGTCGTGATGGATAAAAAAAATGTCAATAATTATAAATTGCTGTACCTGTAATATCACAATTTCTTGAGGATTTTTGGGCTTCCATGTCAAACAGATTTCCTTCAGACCTACTTCGTGAAATTCCTCCTGACCAAAGATGGGCTTTTTCACTGGTTAACATTATTCCACCTACAAAGTAAACAATATATATGCTATATATATGTACATATATTTCTTACAAGATAATATAAACAGGTTGGCATAGAAACCAAACTCAAAGAAATCCACAGATTTAAATAGAAAACTACCTATAAAAATACTCTGCATAGATCCTCTACTTCTGGTGTGATGCTTGACTAGATATCCTGATGTAGATATCAATACTCCACTGAAAAACACTCAGATTCTGGATTAATAGCAACAAACAAACCTAGAAATGCATTAAGGATACTATACTATAAAAAATGTAATAATGAAAAACCCAAGGATAACAAAAAGAATAGTACTTTGACACTCCACTAAATAGGCATTTCTTGTTTGATGATTGAAAAACTAAAAAAATCATTAAACTGGATATTCTTTCCAAATCCTCCTATAAATTCAATGCAGTTCAAGAAAAATCACATATTAGGTACATGATTGTTTGTAATTTAGGCTGTTTTGAAAATTATGAAGAAAAGCAAAGGGCTATTCAAGACAATCCAGAAGGATATGATAGAAGTGATGTGTGATACCAGATATCATCATTTATTAGAAATAGGTGCTAAGTAAGACAATGTGGATTTGGAATAGAAATATACTAAGGACACACTAAGATCATGGCATCTGGTCCCATCACTTCATGGGAAATAGATGAGGAAACAGTGGAAACTGTCAGACTTTATTATTTTGGGGCTCCAAAATCACTGCAGATGGTGATTGCAGCCATGAAATTAAAAGATGCTTACTCCTTGGAAGGAAAGTTATGACCAACCTAGATAGCATATTAAAAAGCAGAGACATTACTTTGCCAACAAAGGTCCATCTAGTCAAGGCTATGGTTTTTCCAGTGGTCACGTATGGATGTGAGACTTGGACTGTGAAGAAAGCTGAGCACCGGAGAATTGATGCTTTTGAACTGTGGTGTTGGAGAAGACTCTTTAGAGTCCCTTGGACTGCAAGGAGATCCAACCAGTCCATCCTGAAGGAGATAAGTCCTGGGTGTTCATTGGAAGGACTGATGCTGAAGCTGAAACTCCAATCCTTTGGCCACCTCACGTGAACAGCTGACTCATTGGAAAAGACCCTGATGCTGGGAAGGATTGGGGACAGGAGGAGAAGGGGACGACAGAGGATGAGATGGCTGGATGGCATTACTGACTTGATGGACATGAGTTTGGATAAACTCTGGGAGTTGGTGATGGACAGGGAGGCCTGACATGCTGCGATTCATGGGGTTGCAAAGAGTCGGACACGACTGAGCGACTGAACTGAACTGAACTGAAGGACACACAATATCCCCAGAAATAGTATCACCCTCAAATGAAAACTTAATATTTAAATACAATAGAGATAGCCAGGCAGAGCAGTGTGGAAATAGATAATTCAATTAACAGTGATGGGACAATCGATGGTTCATGCTGAAAAAAATTACATTGATCATATTCAAAAATTTATTCTAAGAGATTTAAAGACTGAAAAGCAAAACTTTAAAAATAGAGTCTAAAGACTTATCTTGATGGTGTTCAGAAACAATATTTAAGCAAAGTACAAACACAAAATGCAAACTTTAAAAAAAAATGAGATATCCTATATATCAAAGGTCATTGTTCACAAAAAGTAAAAACACAAGCCAAAAACTTGGAGAAGATATTTTAATTTTATATGACTGAAGAAGAAAAAAGGATTGGATTCCAAGATATATTGAAGACTTCTACAAATCAGCAAAATAAGACAATGTTACAAAAAAACTGGGAAGACCCAGAGGGATTGGGTAGAGAGGGAGGTGGGAGGGGGGATCGGGATGGGAAATACATGTAAATCCATGGCTGATTCATGTCAATGTATGACAAAAACCACTACTGTAAAGTAATTAGCCTCCAACTAATAAAAAAAAAAGAAAAAAATTAGAAACAATATCTGCATAAGTGTTTCTCACAAAAAGCAAAAATAATTGATCCCTAAATATATTAAGATTGAAGGCAGGAGGAGAGTTGTTCAGTTGCTAAGTTATGTCCCACTCTTTGCAAACAATGGAGTGTAGCACATCTGGCTTCCTTGTCCATCACCATCTCCTGGAGCTTGCTCAAACTTATGTTCGGTGAGTCAGTGCTGCCATCCAACCATCTCATCCTCTGTCATCCCCTTCTCCTCTTACCTTCAATCTTTTCTAGCATCAGGGTCTTTTCTAATGAGTCAGTTCTTCACATCAGGTAGCCAAAGTATTGGAGCTTCAACTTCAGCATCAGTCCTTCCAATGAATATTCTGAATTGACTTCCTTCAGGATTGACTGGTTTGGTCTCTTTGCTGTCCAAGCGACTCAGGAGTCTTGTCCAACACCACAGTTCAAAAGCATCAATTATTTGGCACACAGCTTTCTTCATGGTCCAACTCTCACATCCATACATGACTAATGGAAAAACCATAGCTTTGACTTAGATGGACCTTTGCTGGCAAAACAATGTCTCTGCTTTTTAATATGCTGTCTAGGTTGGTCTCAGCTTTTCTTCCAAGGAGCAAGTGTCTTTAATTTCATGACTTGGCCACCATGCACAGTGATTTTGGAGCCCAAGAAAATAAAGTCTGTCAGTGTTTTCATTGTTTCACCATCTAATTTTCCATGAAGTGATGGGACAAGATGCCATGATCTTAGTTTTTTAAATACTGAGTTTTAAGCCAGCTTATTTACTGTCTCCTTTCACCATCATCAAGAGGCTCTTTAGTTCCTCTTTGCTTTCTGACATAATGATGGCGTCATTTGCATAGATGAGGTTATCGATATTTTCCCCAGCAATCTTGATTCCAGCTTGCAATTCATCCAGTCCAGCATTTTGCATGATGTACTCTGCATATAAGTTAAATGAGCAGAGTGACAATATACAGCCTTGACATACTTCTTTCCCATTTTGGAACCAGTCCGTTGTTCCATGTCCCATTCTAACTGTTGCTACTTTTTTTTTAATTTAGTTTTTATTGAAGGATAATTGCTTTACAGAATTTTGCTGTTTTCTGTGAAACCTCAACATGAATCAGCCATAGGTATACATATACCCCCCTTCTTTTTTAGCCTCCCTCTTATCTCCCTCCCCATCCCTCCCTCTAGGTCAACAGAGAGTCCCTGTTTGAGTTTCCTGAGCCCTATAGCAAATTCCTGATGGCTATCTATTTTACATATGGTAATGTAAGTTTCCAAGTTACTCATTCCATACATCTCATCCTCTCCTTCCCACTTCCCAAGTCCATAAGTCTATTCTCTATGTTGGTTTCTCCTTTGTTGCCCTGTAAATAAATCCTTCAGTACCATTTTTCTAGATTCCGTATATATGCATTAGAATATGATATTTCTCTTTCTGACTTACATCACTCTGTATAATAGGTTCTAGGTTCATCCACCTCATTAGAACAAATTCAAATGCATTCCTTTTTATGGCTGAGTAATATTCCATTGTGTATATGACCACAACTTCTTTAGCCATTCATCTATGGATGGACTTCAAGGTTCTAGCTATTGTAGATAATGCTGCAGTAAACAATAGGATACATGTGTCTTTTTCAATTTTGCTTTCCTCAGGGTGTATGCCTAAGAGTGGAATTGATGGGTCATATGGTGGTTTTATTGTTAGTTTTTAAAGGAATCTCTATACCATCCACCATAGTGGCTGTATCAATTTGCATTCTCACCAACAATGCAAGAGTGTTCCCCTTTCTCCATACCTTCTCCAGATTTATTGTTTTTAGACTTTTTGATCATGGTCATTCTAACTGGAGTGAGGTGATATCTCACTGTAATTTTGATTTGCATTTCTCTAACAATGAGCAATGTTGAGCATCTTTTCATTTGTTTGTTAGCCTTTTGTATGTGTGCTTTGGAGAAATGCCTGTTTGGGTCTTTTCCCCACTTTTTGATTGGGTTGTTTGTTTTTCTGGTATGAGTTTTATGAGCTGCTTGTATATTTTGGAAATTAATCCTTTGTTAGTTGTTTCATTTGCTATTATTTCCTCCCATTCTGAGGGTTGTCTTTTCACCTTGCTTATAGTTTCCTTTGCTGTCCAAAAGGTTTTAAAGTTTAATCAGTTCCCACTTGTTTACTTTTGTTTTTATTTCCATTACTCTAGGAAGTGGGTCATAGAGGATCTTGCTTTGATTTATGTCATCAAGTGTTCTGCCTATGTTTTCCTCTGAGAGTTTTATAGTTTTTGGTCTTACATTTAGGTCTTTAATCCATTCTGAGTTTATCTTTGTGTATGGTGTTAGGAAGTGTTCTAATTTCATTCTTTTACATGTAGCTGTTCAGTTTTCCCAGCACCATTTATTTAAGAGGCTGTCTTTGCCCCACTGTATATTCTTGATTCCTTTGTCAAAAATAAGGCACCCACAGGTGCATGGGTTTATTTCCTGGCTTTCCATCTTGTCCATTGGCCTATATTTCTGTTTTTTGCCAGTACCATACTGTCTTGATGACTGTAGCTTTGTAGTAAAATCTGCAGTCAGGAAGGCTGATACCTCCAGCTCCATTCTTCTTTCTGAAGACTGCTTTGGTGATTTGGGGCCTTTTGTATTTCCATCTGAATTGTGAACTTTTTTGATCTAGTTCTGTGAAAAATGCCAATGATAATTTGATAAGGAGCGCATTGAATCTGTAGATTGTGTTTGGTAGTATAGTCATTTTCACAATACTGATTCTTCCTACCCAGGGAAATGGAATATCTCTCCATCTGTTTATGTCATCTGTGATTTCTTTCATTAGTGACTTATACTTTTCTGTGTCCAGTTCTTTTGTCTCCTTAGGTAGGTTTATTCCTAGATATTTAATTCTTTTTGTTGCAATGGTGAATGGGATTGATTCCTTGATTTCTCTTTCTGATTTTTCATTGTTAGTATATAGAAATGCAAGTGATTTCTTATTGATTTTGTACCCTTCAACTTTGCTAAATTAATTGATTAGCTCTAGTAATTTTCTGATACTATCTTTAGGGTTTTCTATGTACA